GATTATTTTTATGATTGGCTATGAATAATATAACCAATAAGATACATTATTGTCAATTTGTCGTCATGTTTTTGAGAATTAAAAAATTGTGTTCAACATTAATATATTCAGTGCAGAAAATGAATACAAAGTGTACGATACTATTTAATTCTACTACTATCTGATATTCGTTTGAATGTGATACGTGTACTTCAATATTACAGTAATTCTGTATTTGTTAATTACTTCTTTTTGATAAATACCTCCGATCTTGGCCGAGTATCAATATCTGACTACTCCAATCTGATTTTATTTATTCCTAATAAATAATAAAATTGCATTTTTATATAATTGTCAATTGGGCAATAGAGCCCAATTATTAATTTTGTGTCAAATTATTTTTTATACATTGATGAAAAATGAATTTAAAATGTATCATACTGTTAAACTTTACGACTACCGGATATTCGTTTGAATATGATCATTGTACTTCAATATTTTGGTAATTTTGTATTTGTTAACTACTTATTTTAGATAAATCCCTCCGATCTTGGCAGTGTATCAATATCTGACTTCTCCAATCTGATTTTAATCGGAGCCATTCATGTGACTTCATAGTTTTACTTTCAGTAGGAACCAATGCAGAAAAATAGTTGGAAACTTTACCAGATTGGACCGATGTCATTGTAGCTAACTTATGTTTTTGCGTTTTGAGGTGATCGTTTATATCCGATCGTCCACCATGACTTACTGGAAAAGTTACATGGTAAGTTGTATACTGTACATTGAAATCGTCAGTAGATTTAAGTTTCTTAATAAATGGGAAATCATTTTGCAACTTTTCGTTAAAATGACAAAGTCTTTTAAACGGCATAGTCACTACGTAAAAAAAATGAACTGTATAAAATTACGACACTGTAAATTATAAATACGTACAAAGCTGTTGATAAATTTTGCACTCGCGTACAACTTGTATTGTCAGCAAATAACTGTTAACTAATGTATAATGTATAGACTATAGGTAAACTATACATTCTGTAAAATTATCTTTCGTAACCGTATCGTAATCATAATATGGTTTCTTCCCCATTAAAAATTAATGTAGTTAATGGCAGTAAGTTGGCTTAATTTAGAAAGCGATTATAACTGTGATTGTCGTACATTCTGACGTTCGTTATCGAAATAATTTACGATTAAAATTTGTTCAAATTAAATTGATAACCGATTAAGCATAAGAAATACCAATTTAAAAATGATTTTAATTTCTGGGACATTACTATGCAAAAGTCCAAACCCGGTACAAATCGGTGTCCCGAGAACTTTGTCTGGGACGCCGGGACATGGGTTCCTGAACCGGTAATGTCCCGGGAAATCCGGGACAAATGGCCGCCCTAACTTATTGATGAAAATACATTTGAAAATATTTTTAAATAGTTTCAAAGAGATGATGTTCTCCACTCAAAATTTAAAATTATCAAAAAGGCAATTTAAAACGGTTTAAAGTATACCTGCAAATTTAAAAATAGTTTAAAATCCAATACAAAAAAAAAAAAATGTATAACTTAATACTGTGGTCGAACCACCAATTAAATTGTCTTCAAATTTGACTCCGAGTGTTACAAAGTTTTTTCGCGATCGCTACGCACTGAAAACAAATATACGAATTATCTTATTATATTGATATAGTAAAATTCTGAGAATATATTCTACGAATAATTTAAGACAAAGAACAGTATACCAACCTAGGATTTGTTGACCGTTCTAGGCAAATGTTGGACCAACTTTGGCGTTATCATTCGCTATTCACTCGATGGTTTCGCCGTCGCTGTAAACCTCCCATAGGACCGACAGGCTGTACTAAGGTGACGTGACCACTACATCTGTTCGGTGAACTGACCGTCCGTTTTAAAAGTCTTTTTGTCGGAATCCAATACTCACAGCAAATCCAAAAATACTGGCGTTGTAATCCTGCCGCTTTGATCTTGACCATAGAAATCATATCCGAATGACAGGGATCCAGTTCACTGTTGACACGGTGAGCCAGAATACTTGTAGTAGTCCAAAACACTAGAGCCAATTGAATGTTCATCATCACTCATACTGTTTAAATCTATTGCCTGTTGAAAAACATGACAACATTATTATTATGACTATTATAATAATAAAAAAAACAATAATAATATTAAAATATTTTGGCGGGTTACACCAATACACGAGATTTATGATAATTAAAAGTAACGTTTATTTACAACAAGAAAAATATGGTACAAGAGATCGCCAGCTGACGGAAGAAAAAGGCGAGTACGCAACAATCAAAACATAAGCTAAGAAAAACAATTATACATTAGGATGGTTCGGAGTCGAGGAAACAATGTTTCGCGAACGGCGTCGGTGCGAAGGACGAGCCTAGCGGACGAGTAGTCGAGTCGAGCGGAGCTGTAGGATTGAGTCGAGCGGGGCTGGGTTGAAAAACCGTTACACCGGCGGCGAGGGGCGTGGCTGACGTCCGACACGAGCCACGCGCAGCGGGAAGGAGAAATGTGGCGCGAAACCCGCCACATCACTCCCCCCCGGGGAAAAGGAAACCCGTTTCCGCGAGACGCGTTCGCGTCGGACGCCAGAATTCGCAGCGTAGGTGTGGTCTTCCAATGGGTCCTCTCGGAGAATGAAAGTCGGTTTGAGACGATCCACCGAAACCCATCTGGTTCGATTCGGGAACTGAATCTTGAAGTCCTTGGGACGTCGATCTAGCACGGCATACGGGCCCTCGAAGAGCGGCTGAAGCGGAGCGCGGTGCGCGTCGATGCGCAGGAAAACGTGCGAGACGGTGTCGAGTTTTGACGGCACGAAAACCCGACGAGAAGCGTCGTGATTAGACCTCTGTGTTGGTCGCAGGAGGGCCATGGAGTTGCGCAGCGAAGACACCAGCTCGTGAGCGACGGCTCGGGGGGGGGGG